TAAAACCCATTATAAATGAGGCATTTGTTGCATCCAGTGGGGACATAATTACTGATTATAATGACTTATACTGACTTTTTACACGTTGCGTTGCATCGCGCAAACATAAAACCATGTCTGCATTTGTGATCGGAGAAATGACAAACAACAAGCGCTACTCTACACTGCTGAAAACTCGCGTTTGAATCATCAGTGGCAAATCCTTTAACCCTTTAGGCGCCAGGGATTTTTGGGAAAAATGCTGGACTTTGACATCAAGATTTCAAAAGCTTGTGGCTTGAAAGGGCTTAAAGATAGAGATCTACTGTAAATTAGAAAAATGTTGGGCATGACCGAAAGTTTATGTGGGGGGTAAATATACTCGTCTAATTTGCATATTATGATGTCATCAGAGGCGGCCATCTTGAATTTCAACATGTCACGTCACTTTTCACTTTTTCACTTTTCACTCTACAATACTACAGCGAGAATAAAAGTTACTCCTTCTTTCTTTGTGTGAACATTTGGGCGGTGTTATGCAAATCTTCCCACATAGTGACGTAGGTATGTGGGGGTGTGTTAGAACGAGCCGTTTTAGGTAGGCGTGGTTGACTCTTAACTTTTATAAAGAATATCTCTTTGGATTTGAGACTTTAGTCTTTGCAACTTTACAGATTTTCTTTATGCACCAAGAGCTTGTAACACTCCAAAGAGAAAGGAAAAATTGAAATCGCATCATATGACCCCTTTAATGTCAGAATATCTCTTCATGAGTAATATATCTGCTGCTGTGGGCTACGCACATATATCCGTGTGTTTGTTACAGTGTGTCTGTTATTTTCTTCAGGAGCGTCTCTGACAGAGTCCACACTCAAGACAGTCCCTCAGGTGGTAAACGTACAGGAACTGAAGGATAAAGGTCCGCCCATACCTGTGTCCACCATCATCAGGTAAGAGACCTTCACACTGCAACCACAGCAGGGGACTTATGGGCTGTTTGTATGATTTTTCACACTGACTAAAGCGCTGCTGGATGCTCTGCATAAGTACTGATTGAAAATGCATGCAGTATGCATTATTCTGGGTTGTTTTTGTGTTTGTATAACTGCGATAGTTCATTCGCTGTGACACAGAGCTCACGCCACAAATCACACACGCTCCTTATGCACAGCATAAGCATGTGCTTAGAACAAATCTGATGTTTATTCGCTGTGCTTACTGCCTGTGTGTGTGTGTGTGTGTGAAATCCTCTCTCTCTGGGTCTAAAATGAGGCAGTAGTCAGGGTCAGAGTGGAGTCTGTGTTTATTATGGGCTATGTGTGTGTACGGCGTCCTGTTTTAACCTTTCACATGAGCTCATCTGCCCTCAAGGGTGCATTTAGTCCACAAATGTGAGCGCGCTCAGACCCTCTTATCTGCAGCGCTGCATGATGAACAACAGCAGCTGGATGCGTGATGCATGTGTTGACCTATGTGATTCACAGCAGCTCAGTTAATTGTAGAAGCCCATGTTAAAAGATTAAAGCTAGAATAGCTTTGAATATTCATAACCATAATTTGACATTTGCTGGACTGGATGGTCACATGACCACACCACACATCTGTCCATCACAACACCGCACGTTACTGTTTGGTTTTTCTCTCAAGTAGCTGACTTACAGTACGTAGGTTGAAGGTTTGAAACTGTCTCCACTGCTTATGAATCATGGGCTTCTAGTGTGCTTATTATTTTTGTTATCCTTGTTACAATAGTAATAACAGTAATTTATATGTAATTATAAGAAATTAACCCTAAACCAAACCAAATATTATAGAGGTATCATTATCGTTAGTTATAGTTATTGGTTTCATTACAGTTATTACCATTCCTGTTACAGTTATCATTAGTTTTATTTATTGCTATTGTTGTCAGTATTATTAATGTTAGCATTATCATTACATTTATAGTTATTGTTATAATTATTATTAGTTATAGTTGTCATTAACGTTATTATCACCAATTGCATTATAGTTACTACAAGTATTGTTAACATTTTAGTCATATATTTGTCAGTATCGTTACGGTTATCATAGTTATTGTCATAGTTATTACAGCTATAGTTATGGATGTTAACATTAACTATAATGTAAATGGTAATAATGTAGTTATCACAAGTATTGTTAATGTTTTAGTTATCGCTATAAATGACCCTTGATGTAACTAAATGCACATTTTAGGTTACCTGAGAAAACATTTTTACAGTACTGTTACAAAGAAATTCTTTAAAAAATAGAAAGAAATTCTATAAAAAGGAATCTGAACCATTATATAATGAACAGCTATACTGTATAATAATATAATATTATATAATATAATATAAAAAACTGAAGCATTTAAACTTATGAAAAGAATAGAACAGAAAACAAACTGAAGCATTTAAACTGAGATCTATAAGCTAAATATTTTCAAAAAAAGTGAACATATGAATTCTTATATAGTTATCTTGAGTTTAGAGTTTGCACACTACTACACCCGAGTATGACTGTAAATGTCTCTGAGTTTTGTTACAGTTTTGTCTGTGCCCATCATTAGTGGTCGACCGATATTGTTTTTTTGACAGCCGATGCCGATATCTTGGAAAGCATGGTGGCCGATGGCCGGTGGCCGATATAATTTTATGTATTTTAATTAATATTTAAGACATTTGAAATCATTTGAAAATGGATTCAAAAAATAAATGTGTAAAATAAACATACTTATACTTTAGATGACAAAGTATTTTTCACAAATAAATAAATATTTAATAAAAATATAATTAAAAAGGAAGTAAACACTAACCAACAGGGCACTCAGTATTCTGGGAAGTTTGTGTGCATTGAAAATCATATTTTTTTCAAATAAAGCCAAGGTAACACTCATTTTACATACTGCACACAGTGGAAATGACGTGAATATGGCAGTGGGCAAATGCATAAAGCGCAGCATAATTTAATATCACAAGTTTAAAGTTTGTCTATCGCGCGTCTCCAGTCAAGCTGAACTCTCCTCCTGTCCGCATTCAATTCACACGGATCAACCGTCACGCAGAGCACACGCGATCATGCAGAATACAAATGCACACACAAGATCTCACAACTGGATCCGACTAAGTTTGCAAGGTTTGTGAAATTAAATGTTCATTAGACATTCAAAGATTTGTTTAAATTATATAAATGCGTATTTGCTGAATGCTGACGGCAGACGATAAAGTATTATAATGTTTGCCTTTCTATTACTAATAATATAAAAGCAATCGTTATAATACTTTTTGTATACATTTTAATTCCTTTGTTTATCCGTTCTATCTGATTATTAGATAGACTTCTATTCATATTAGACAGAACTGTTAACGACGACAGCGAACAAGAGGGAGAATGTGAGCACTCAGGCGCTGCCGTTCTCAGCACCGTGAAAATAAAAGTCCCGGCTCGAACGCATCGGCCAAACAGGAAAACTTATCGGCCGATGCCGATATTTGAAAAATGCCAAATATCGGCCGATATATCGGTCAACCACTACCCATCATCAAGCCACTCTTCTTTAAAACATGATGACGTTTTATTTCGCATGTCATTACTTTTGCGTTGGCTCTCGTTTTGAGCTATTTCGTTCGCAACCATTAAAGTATTTGATTTCTACAGCGACTGATTTGGCGCACATCATTCTCTTTCTATGAAACCTGTAAACCGCATTCACCGCTTCTAACTCTATAGCGACACCAACTCTATAGCGTTATCGTTATATTATCTTTAACATTACAGTTATTGTTATAGTTGCCATGAACATTTATGTTGTAGTTCAGGTTGTTGTTGTGAATGGGCTGTAATTGTGTATAGTGTTTTTTGTCCAGTGTTGTGCACTGACACACAGCAGGATGTGAGAGTTTGTGGTCAGCGCTGTGAGTGACATGATTTGACATCATTTCCTGCACTGACTTGTGCTGTCCGAGCTCAGTGGAGGTGTATCTGATGTCTGTGTGTTTCTGAGTGCCTCTTCTGTGTGTGAATGCACAAGACAGTGTGTCCCATGCAACTTTAACCCAGACTCATGTATTATTAACGCTCAAACTGCTCGGCCTGAGGCATCGGTACACACACACGAACACGGCTGTGTTTAGAGCTGCAGACCACCACAGTAGTCACACTGCTTCTGCAGTATGTCAGTGATCAAATACATCTGCCAAAATAACAATGTATCACACTCTAAACCTGACCTTCTGTGTCCACTGTGAACTGAAGTCATATTAACTGCAGTCTCTTTCTTGACTCGTTATTTGATCAGAATGCTAGATACTCAGACATTTTTACACTAGGTTTAATTAAAACTTCAAACATTTGTTTGTTTCCTGTATAGTGAAGCCTTGTGATAAACATAGTGAGGACATAAGTAGCATGTATTATACTAGCCTTTCAAACATTAACTGTTCTATACTGCATTCAAAAATTAGTTTGCATTAAATTCAAACATTATCACAATTATTAAATTTAGAAACCATTTTTATCTGAAATTCTGCTCCAATAATTCAGTTAATACCCTTTTACATCAAGGTTAATGAGAAGGTTCTGTTTAGGGATGTTCATTTCGGTTATTTTTCCTAACCGACAACTGACGCTCGTTAACCGATTATTAACCGTTAACCGACAAGATTATTTTAAATTTGAATAGCGAGTGAAGTAGGCTACATAATAAATAATATTTTAGGCTACATAATAAATAATATTCAAATACATTGCGAATACGGAAACATTTGATTTTGTGTCGAATGAGAGACGCAACAAACCATGCAGCAAACCTTTTTAAATATTTTGATAAATTACTAAAAAAAATAAAGAAAACCATTTAACTGATTGTATTAATCGGTCAAAATTCTTCACGGTCGGTTAACAGTTAACCGGTTAAAATGAACATCCCTGGTTCTGTTCATTATAACCATGCGCTGCAGTTTTGTCTTTAAATGCCCAAGCTCTTTAAAGTAGTTGGATTCTGATTGACTGTCAATGTTTTTACCGTTCATCAGCTAGAAAAATCGTTCAGAATAAAATTATATCATTATTGTTCCTCTATGTTGTTATTGTTGTATCTGTGATGTGAACTTAACTATTATCGTAGAATTAATACAATCATTAAAACATGATAGTTAATCATTATAGTTATTGTCCTTGGAGTGAAGTGAGCTTTTATACCTTTGCTGATAGCTACTCGTGTGTAGATAGATACTGTCCTCCCTAATGTGTACTGTGCAATATGCACTACACTAGTGTTTCACCCTGTGTGTGTCTCTTCCTGTCTGTATTGATCTCTCATTCTGATGCAGAAAGAGACAGATGGGGAACGTCCACACATATATATACACACACACACACACACACACACACACACACACACACACTTGAGTTCATTTAATTTGTTCACCATATAGAGGTCAGGTGACCATTGTAATGACGTCACTGCGATTTAAGCACTCGAGCTGTTTATCAGAGCACTTCTCTTCTCTTCCGCTGCTCCAGTTACTGCTCTTCATCATATTCTTGGTCACTTGAGCACCGGCCGTTCTGCCTGCTCACTCTGTGTCTGTCTGACCGGCCCTACGGTGGCAGATATTTGTCCTGAACAGCCCGCAGGACACTTTCCACTTGAACTTCCTGTGCTGTATGAGCATCACGCTCATAGGCTCAGACGTGAAGGAAAAAGAAATGTGAATGCAGAACATCAGACCTCTTTTGTTCAAATGCTCAGGATGTTCTCAGATGTATCCCAACATCCCTAAACACAAAGTCATTCATCTGTATATGGGGGGGGGGGGGTCTAATAGCGTAGCAAATTAATATTTGTTTTTTACAAATTAACAAAAATAATAAAGAACACCAGGTTTAAATATTAATGACTAATTATTATTATGATTAGTATTGCTAAAAAATATTAAACAAAATT